CAAAAAAAATAAAATAAAAAATGGATGATTTGAGACAGAACAAAAGTTCAAAAGGTTGATGTCAGCGAGTGCCAGAGATGATGATATGAGGATGTGCAGTCAAAAGAAAAAAAATATAATTAAATAGAAAAGCAGTCAGAATGACTGTGTCCATGCTTTAAAAAAGACAACACTGACCCCTAGTGATCCCACTGAAAATGATTCCAATATGCAAATTAATTCTACTTCATGCAGGCAACATCACAATCATGTRTTTTGCATGGGGAAAGTGCTCCTCCATTTGGTATCTGTTTGTTCATATAAGTGAATGCCTGTTTTAGTGATTTTAGACAATTAAAAAGTGCACGCGTGTGTTTATTTCTTTCACATCGACGGAAGCGCCGTATTATGCAGAGTTTGGCTGTGAGGTGCGCGAGTTCTAATATTGGTGCAGAGTGAATTGGAGCTTCCTTTGATGCGATGAAGGCTGACAAGCGTGAAACAGGTCCAAGCAGGCACGTGGGCGCTGCCAATTAACCCTTTTCACCGTGTGAAACCAAACATAATTGCCTAGTGTGCAGGGGGCCAATAGGCCATGGCCTGCCCAGCGTAGGCTGAAATGGGCATTAGCTGTGCTGCCAGGTGACCATTACACACAATTGAACTGCTGGGTGTCTCTCCAAATCACATAGTTACAGTTGCTACCCTGATCTAATTGGCATGATATTACCAAATGGACCCTAATTTTAATTTCCACACCTTTGCAATTTATCTGAAATATCTTTATAGAAACACTAGGTTGCATTTATAACATACATCATTTCTTGAGCACTCTGTCACCAAAGAGAACGCTTATATTTATAAAATAAAGCATATTTGTTTACATGAATTTACCATTATTCCATTAGCAATAGCAAAACCTTTGACAAGAACAAATAGTGGTTAATAAATCAAGCTTTACAGGCACTGATGATCAAATGTTGTTCGAGTTCTGCTCAAGGCAAAACCCCACATTTGTAGTTCTCCACACAAAACTAGAGCACAGCTTAAAGCAAACTAGAACAGGCCTTTGTGCTGCTGCAGCAGCATTTGCTAAAATCCACACTTATTATTCAGATATTCTTGTCATCAATTAATGATAGTGTTTATCAAGACTGAGTAACTGCTTACTATTTGTTTCACATAAGAAAAATATGAAAGATATGTTTGGCAGTGTTCTTTATGAATTTAAAGCATTACATAGTGCAAGAAAGTTAGTTGAAATAAGCAAATACATATATAATTTACACAGGGATGTTAAAAATCACTATTTTGTATAGGGGTCACTTAGTCTAAACATATGTCCACAAAAGTGATCAAGTCAATAAATGTATTTGAACGTTTTTCTAGACCAGTGGTTCCCAAACTTTTTATGTTCTGACGCACAAAATATTCATGGCAAAAACTTGTGACCCCAAATATTACTGGTCTGAGTACACAAACTTTGTTAATAACCCTAAAAACAAAGGCCACACAGATATAAATACTTATTTATACTTATTTTGTGTTTTTGTAATAATTATAGGGACAAAATTACATCACCAATTATTTTATTACCCTTTAAATTGATTTCTGAAGTGCAGTGGTTCCCAAACTTTTCAGCTTTTGACCCACAAAATAACAGCAGCAGAGACCTGAGCCCACCACTATTTTTGGATGACAAATATTTGTATCAGGTCAGCTAAACATGGACTTAGTAACAATATGTATTATTCTACATTTATACATTTTAGGCAACTACTGTATAAGGCAAAAATGTAATTAATTTAGAAAGTCTTTTCAGGACCCCACTTTGGGTCCCGACCCCAACTTTGGGAACCACTGTTCTACACTATATTAGCTTATGTTTCTAAATATTTCATGATTTTTTTTTTGTAAAAGTATTCTCGCAGTCCTCAGAAGAATATTCAAAATACATTACTTTTAAATCACTAAAATAAACAGACACTGTTAGAATAGAAATTAGTTGGTTAAGGAATGTTTGATCAGTTCTCAACTGACCTCTCAGTACGGACAGACTGTATTAATACTGTATACTGTAAATGAATTTGCAGTGATTTACAACATCTGCATCCAAAAGCAAACATACATATAAGCTGTCCTGATGCATCTCAGTAATCCAGATAAAAAATCAAAAAGAAAAAAATTGTATAGGTCTTCTGTACAGGTTCTTCTCTAA